ACACTCCGTGAGAAATGCAGAGACTGGATACGAGTACTGAATCCCACTTCAACTTTTCCTCAGGGCCTCGGCTCACTGTAAGTAGGCTGTGATTGGATACTGTGCTCTCCTTGTAGTATGCATTTCTTCAAGATAATTTGGTTTCTTAATAAAACTACCATGTGCACAGTGGTGAGTAAAATCTGCTAATTAATAGATGTTGAATAAGTTGGGGACTTAAGAGTCCTAGTGCCTTCTGTAGTAGTAGAGGAGACAGGTTATTCTTTTTCTGCCTGGTTCTGTCCTACACCTAACTCTATGGAGCTTATTACTAACATGCACATTTCCTATGCAAGGAATAGTTGTGGTGCTTTAGTGCCAAAATGTAGGCACTTGATGTTAATCAGGTTGGTGTTAATATTTAATGTTAATCGTAATAAGTCAGAGAATTCCAGGTCACCTGAAAGTCCACATCCAGCATTTATCCCAGGTTCTTCACAAGCTTCTGTTGCATTTCTTTTCATTCACTCATTCAGCAAATATTTGTTGACAGCCCATGTGGCAGGCCCTGCATTAGTCCCTGAAGATCAAAGGTAGACAAAGCACGTTTACATTTTAGTGGCAGTGAAAAACGCATCATACAACAACTCCAATAATCAGAAAAGAAAAGGAGAACAAATACGCAGGACGCTATGATAATGTGTAACAGGATGCTTGGTAGTTAATCTAGACTAAATTCCCTCTAAGGGGGAGGGGTATTTGAAATCTCGTATTCTCAAACAGGCTTTGCACAAGTAAAGCAAGCTGAGTATTTCCAGAAAAAGCATTATTATTAGTCAGCGTCCAAGGCAGGAGAAACTATACAGCATTGAAGAGATTCAGTGTGGTTGAAGCACATTGAGCTAGGAGCTAAATACCAGCTTAGCTTCTCTTTACCTGACGTGGTTTGTTTTCTGAATCATCCAAAGAAGGAATTTGGAAGCTCCTACTCCATTCACTGAAATATTGTACACTGTTGTCATGAAAGCACATGATGACATTAACTTAAATGAAATACAGACTCTTAAAGTATATGTCAGCTAAATTATATCTATCATCTCCACCAGGAGCCATTTCTCCTAATTGTTCTCCCCCTCCATAATATTTTAACACCATAGAATACTGTATATCTGTTTATGTAATGTAAGCATAGGGATCTGTGTTTTGCACATAGAAAATACAAGAATTTTGTGCACCCCTCCCTCCAAAACCAATTTTCATCCTCTTGGGGGGTGATACATACGGTGTACTGTTCACTCAGATCCCTTTAAAGTTAGCATCTTACAGAACTGTCTGGTATAACTAGAATAAGTTAACAGTGGTAAACATCATTAATTATCCACAGACCTTATCCATATCTAAGAATTTTCACCACCAGTGTCCATTTTCTGCATCAGGATCTGATCCAGGATCCCACATACACTTAGTGATCATTTCTTCTCAGTCTTCTCTAATCTGTGATTGCTCTTTCATCTTTTTTTTTTTTTTTTTTTTTGACAGCGTGGACAGTGAGAGAGAGAGACAGAGAGAAAGGTCTTCCTTTGCCGTTGGTTCACCCTCCAATGGCCGCCGCGGCCAGTGCACCGCGCTGATCCGATGGCAGGAGCCAGGTACTTATCCTGGTCTCCCATGGGGTGCAGGGCCCAAGTACTTGGGCCATCCTCCACTGCACTCCCTGGCCACAGCAGAGAGCTGGCCTGGAAGAGGGGCAACCGGGACAGAATCCGGCGCCCGGACCGGGACTAGAACCCGGTGTGCCGGCGCCGCAAGGCGGAGGATTAGCCTAGTGAGCTCGTCTTTTTTTTTTTTTTAAGATTTATTTATTTATTTGAAAATCAGAGTTACAGAGAGGGAGAGAGGCAGAGAGGGGAACCTTCCATCTGCTGGTTCACTCCCTAGATGGCTGCAATGGCCAGGGGCTGGGTCAGATCAAAGCCAGGAGCCAGGAGCTCCATCCTAGTCTCCCATGTGGATGGCAGGGGCCCAACATTCGGATCATTCTCTGCTGCTTTCCCCAGGCTGTTAGCAAGGAGCTGGATCACAGGAGAAGCCACGACATGAACCAGCGCCCATATGGGATGCTGGTGTTGTAGGCAGTAGCCTTATCTGCTATGCCACAACACCAGCCCCTCCTCAGTCTTTTTTGGAAAATTTTTATTTATCTATTTTCATATTATTTGAAAGGCAGGGAGACAGAGACAGACACACATTCCCCCAAATATCTGCAACAGCCAGGGCTGGGCTTGGCAGAATCCAGGAGCCAGCAGCTCAATCTGGGTTTCCTTTGTGGGTGGTAGGGACCCAAGTAGTTGAACAATCACCTGCTGCCCCCAGAGTAGGCATTAGCAGGAAACTGGAATCAGAAGTGGAGGAGCCAGGACTCAAACCAGGCTTGCTCGCTCTCGCTCTCGCTCTCTCTCTCTGCATGTGTGTGTCTCTCCATCTCTGTCACACTGCTTTTTAAATAAATAAACAAACAAATCTTAAAAAAAGAAAGATACCGCAAGGCTTGGGTTGTAGGCCTGGTTAGGGCAGGCCTATTTCATCTTTGTCGTCATTCCTAGGGGTGGTCTCTGCAAAGTGAGGTCTTCCTGGGATCTCCTTAATAGTGTGAGTGCTGATATTTCTGCTCAGTCATCAGCCTCTTAGCAGATATTTTTTCTTGGGCTTCACACAGTCTTTTTTTTTTTTTCTTTATTATTTATTTATTTGAAAGTCAGAGTTACACAGAGAGAGAAGGAGGGGCAGAGGCGGAGAGAGAGAGGTCTTCCATCTGCCAGTTCACTCCCTGATTGGCTGCAATAGCTGGAGCTGTGCTGATCCGAAGCCAGGAGGCAGGAGCCTCCTCCAGGTCTCCCAAGCGGGTGCAGGGACCCAAGGACCTAGGCCATCTTCCACTGCTTTCCCAGGCCTAGCCGGGAGCTGGATCAGAAGTGGAGCAGCTGGGACTCAAACCGGCGCCCATACGGGATGCCTGCAGTGCAGGCAGCGGCTTTACCTGCTAGGCCACAGTGCTGCCCCCTTCCCACAGTGTTATACTACAGTTGCACATTGGGTCTGATCAACTATCTGGGGGGAATTCTCTCTCTCTCTGTCTGCTATCCTACTGTCTGTTAGCCTCCTCTCTGATTCCTTCTGGATTCCTGAAGTCTTAGCACCCTCTAACTTTTTTAAAAAGATATACTTATTTGAAAGGCAAAGTGACACACACACACACACACACACACAGAGAGAGAGAGAGAGAGAGAGAGAGAGAGAGAGATCTTCCATCTGCTGATTGACTCCCCAAATGGCTGCAATAGGTGGGGCCGGGCCAGGTTGAAGCACGAAGCCTGGAACTCCACCGGGTCTACCCTGTGGGTGACAGGGCCCCCAGTACTTGGGTCATTTGCTGCTGCCTTCCCGGGTGCATTACGAGGAACTGGACTGGAGTAGCTGGGACTCAAACCGGCACTCCAATATGGAATACCAGAGTCACAAATGGTGCCACAACACCAGCCCCAGCCCTGTCACTTGTATCTGTTTCTCTGCTTACATTCTCTCTCCCGTTACAGCAGTTTGAATAAAGTATCTTCAGGGAGAAAACCAGCATGAACATGGGGTTCACCTTCTTTGCCTCCTTTCCCTCAGGGATCATAGCCCTGCAATGTGCGCCATCCAAAGCCCAAGGATATTTCATTTGTGTATTTTTATTTAGCTTTAGTTTTAGTGGGAGTGCAAGTTTAGTACTTGCCACTATATCATGTCTGATTGATGTTTTTAAAAACTAAGAAAGCGCCAGCGCCATGGCTCACTAGGCTAATCCTCCGCCTTGCGGCGCCGGCACACCGGGTTCTAGTCCCGGTCGGGGCACCGGATTCTGTCCTGGTTGCCCCTCTTCCAGGACAGCTCTCTGCTGCGGCCCAGGAGTGCAGTGGAGGATGGCCCAAGTGCTTGGGCCCTGCACCCCATGGGAGACCAGAAGCACCTGGCTCCTGCCATCGGATCAACGTGGTGTGCTGGCCACAGCGCGCTGGCCACGGTGGCCATTAGAGGGTGAACCAACGGCAAAGGAAGACCTTTCTCTCTGTCTCTCTCTCTCACTGTCCACTCTGCCTGTCAAAATAAATAAATAAATAAATAAAAAATCTTAAAAAAAAAAAAACTAAGAAAGCTCGCAGACTCACAGGATTCAGTTACTCTGTCAAGCAGGTGGGAGAAGAGGAACACGCTTGCGATTCTTTCCTGATGTGACTTAGTGTGCCTACAAAGATTTATACAGTTCATCACATACAGCTTCCAAATACATTATTGCTATAATAACACATTATCAACTAAGACAACCAATCAAAGTTAGAGCTTTCTCTTGCAGGTTATTTTTGTGTCTGGAATTTTCAGAATCTTGAAAGATCCCTTTGTTCAAACAACGCTTGCAAGATCTGATGTATGAGGGTATTGAGCAAGAAAGGGATCAAGGACAGTCTTATTGCATGAGAAAACAATATTGATGCCCCATGGAAGTTCTCAATTTAATGCCATATCAAATTGTATTTCTTCAATTAGTTTATAAGTAAAAAAAAATGCATCTATTTCCAGAGCTGTGGGGGAGGATGGCATTACTTTAACTCCTTTCTAGGGATGATTTATTTGATTACGAAGATTTAAATCTTAGATCCAGACTCTGGGATTTTATTCATTACTTTTATAAGTAAAATTCAGTCTCATGGAGCTCTTTAATAAAAGAGATGGGGAAAAAGCTGAAGATTTTTTACTTTATGACAGTGAATTAACTGAACATATAGAATTTTTCCTCTTTAATATTAAAATGTTTTATAAGAGTTTGCCTAGGATTTTGTGGCTGTACCCTTGACTCATCCTCCAGTGATCAAACCCAATCCTTCGTAGGATTGTGAGAATGAAGTTTCATGTGTAACACATTTGAGTTATCTGCAGCCTAAGCGACCAAAATGCTACATTAACACATTTTGCTGCTTCACTTTCAGGAAAAAAAAAAAGAAGCAAATGATACCAAGACAAGCTCATATCAGAGATTTAAACACCATATGCGTGTGGAAGAAAATACAGGTAAATTGTGTCTCTTATATTCTTTTGGATCTGTATGTAAATTGTTGTATGATAATAGCTAGTATTCAGAATATCACAACAGAGTGTAGAACAGCAAAGCACGCAGCAATCGAATTTTTTTTTTTAAGATTTACTTATTTATTTGAAAGTCAGAGTTACACAGAGAGAGGAGAGGCAGAGAGAGAGAGAGAGAGAGAGAGGTCTTCCATCCGATGGTTCACTCCCTAATTGGCCACAACAGCTGGAGCTGTGCTAATCCGAAGCCAGGAGCTTCTTCCGGGTCTCCCATGTGGGTGCAGGGGCCCAAGGAGTTGGGCCATCTTTTACTGCTTTCCCAGGCCATAGCAGAGAGCTGGATTGGAAGTGGAGCAACTGGGTTTTGAACTGGCGCCCATATGGGATGCTGGCACTTCAGGCCAGGTCGTTAACCCACTGCGCCACAGTGCCGGCCCTGCAATCAAACTTGCAATAAGAATTAAACTTTTCCCCAGCATATGCTGGTGTCTCACAGTATGCTAGGTTTTAAGAGTAGAAAGGTGAAATTTTTTTCCCCTGTGTATCAGAGAGACTACAAACCAAACCACCAGTTGTCCATCCTTGAAAAACTGATGTACTGATGTGCAGTGGAGTAGCCATTCTGTGAGAGAGATTTTTTCCTCCCATAATCTTCAGACTCTACTCAGGAGATTCCTTCTATCTCGTTGTCTTACCTGAATCTAGCCAGTCTTCTGAGAGCAAAGATTTACCTGTTAGCCTTCCAAATGGCTGTCATTTTGTCCTGTGAGTAGCTCTAAGTCTGAGACACATAGCCACGTTGTTGGGGTCGGTGTCCTTCCCATTGCTACTTTCAGGCCACTACGTCTTCACTCTGCATTCGGAAGCTTCTCCGTTCCTTGTGACAGTCTTCGTCTGACCTCCCGTCTTTCACTGGTGGTTTTGTTCCCAGGCTCCTCACTCCAGTAGTTACATGACTTCAGTAGTTTCATGAATGAACTATTTGCCACTCCAGTGAATTATACACTCAGCCTCATCCATCTATTGTCATGTTGTGGGCTTTGTCAATACTTGTCAATCGAACAGTGCAAACATCTAGCATCTCATTCACAACTTTTCTTCCAACTTGCTTTAAGTATCCCACTAGAATTATTCTTCCATTGAATGCTTTTAGTTGACTTGTTCCTCCATTTCCCCACCATTTCATGAACCCATTCACCAATCACCCTTTTCTAACATATTTTTTCATATTACTAGTAGATTCTAAAACCCATCATTTCAGTTATCCTTTTGGAAATTCTCTGGCAAAGCCCAGTCCTGGATGAACCTGTCTATTTTCTCCATGTCTCTACCTGAGTTACAGAGAAGTATTGGAGAAAAACTCATTTCGATATCACTACATAGCAATGGTCAATGCCTTTATCTGGGCTCTCCAAACCTTCTGGCACCTTGGTCTGTGACTTTCAGCAGAATCTCTTTTAAATCTATCCTAAAAAAATGCAAAAATTCCCAAGCTATTCTCAAATCTCCAAATCTCTCATTCTCAGCAGATAATCTTGCTTCCCATTTCACTGGAAAAATGGAAGCTAATAGATGGGAACTTCATTCAGCCAATTGTTTTTCCTCTTTTAACAAAGGCCAGTCATTCAGCATGTGCTCTGAATTCTATTTTCACTAAAGACCACTAATTATAGCCTCTAATTTTGCTTCAGTGTCGTCTTCTCTGTCAGATTCTTCCCATGAGCATTTATACATTTGATCATCGCTCATTATAACAAACAAATCAATAACCAACCAGCTTCCTTCCACCCCTTACATCCTCCCCCCTCACCCAAAATCCTCTGGAAACCATGTATTTATTTAGCTGCCGTAAGCCTTCTCCCTCTATTCTCGAATGCTTGGCCTGAATTTCTTATAATTTTTCTCTCCAAATCTTCAACCCCTGTTCTCTCTACAAGCCCTTGATATGACCCCTGTTTCAATCACTCCATTGGAATAGCTCTTATTAGAGCCATCAATTAGTTCCACATCATGTAGCCCAATGCTCTCTAACCATCTTCATGTCACACAGGCTCTCAGAGTCATTCTGCAGAGTTGACTGCTCCCTCCTCGGGGACACTCCTTCCCTTTGGCTGCCATGACAACGCGTGTTTCTAGGTTACCTCTACTTCTCTGACTCTTCTTTATCATTTGCCATTCACCCTTCCTCTACCTTACCTGTAAGTCTGGGAGTACCCCAAGGCTCAGTCCTAGTCTCTTCTAATTCTACGTTCTGTCACCAAGAAAACGCTGTCCCCCTTCATGGCTTAATTTATCATCTGTACTCCAAAAATCTTTATCTGCAGCCAGACCACTCTCGTAAACTGTCCACGTGGCATCTCCAAACTGGATGCCTGCAGATGCCTTAACTTGAATGCATTTAAAATGGAACTCAAACTCTGTTTATTCCCAGGCTTTCTTTTCCTTTGCCTAGGTACTTGCCTAGGTACTTTCACTAGCCCCTTGCTCAAACTCTATACTTTGGATTTATGCTTGACTGCCTCTTGTTACCACTCCTCATGTGCAGTCAGTCACCAACTAGTGACTCTACTCAGAATATTTTGTCATCAACATCATTTTGCCCATGACTTTCTGAAATAGCCTTCTGACAGGTTTCTTGCCTTTATAGGCCTCCGTTAATTTTCCCCAAAGCTTTAGAAGGGACCTTACAAACATGCATGTCTCAGTATAGTATTTCCCCACTTAATATGCTTAGTGCCTTTAGTGTGTTTGATCTACTAAGCATGTCAGGTCATAACTAGGCCTCAGCTTTCCTCTCCAAGCCCATCCTGCTCTACTTTCCCTCCTTACATGCAGTGTTCCAGTCACTCTGGCCTTGTTCTAGTTCTCATTCCATGTGGACTCATTACCCCCTGCGCTTTCCCTTCATGGCACCAATCACAACTGTAATTAAATAACTGCTACTCAACATGGCATTTGTTGAACGTCTGACCCGCTTGCTAGAATATGCACTCTCTGGGGTCGGGGCCTCTGTCTACTTGTTTTATTGTCAGGGTCTGACATTGTATTGGGTCCCTCATATGTGCTATTTTGAATGCATGAAAGATTCTAATAGAATTCAATAAATAAGAATATAAAGACGGAGGCAAATAGATTGCAAAATGGAACAAAGATAAGTGGGATTCGATCCAGCTGAAGAAACCTACCAGTATAACTTCTATTGTATTGCTCTGATCAGAATCTTGGAAGAAAATTCCAGAAAAGTACATGGTCAATGATTGCATGCTTGTTTGGCCTTGTATCTTTAGCATGTGGTCTCTTCTTTGACTTTCACCCTTGGAGAACCCAAGGCAGCTGGTAGCTATCAACATCCACTCACTGTGAGTAGAGCAGTAAATCAGCCTATCAAGTAACATGGATTCTTTCATTAAGTCTCTTGCTGTGACTATAGACTATGTTTGCATTTAGGCTTTTCTATTAAAACAACACAATCAGGAAGACTGTTTGCCTTCTCCATCCCTCAGGAAAGGATTAGGAAAGGATTAACAAGAGAGATACGTCTTTCACTTAAATATGTTTATATTCAGAATCCCATAATTTTCTCTTTTTTTGACAGGCAGAGAGATAGAGAGAGTTATAGACAGTGAGAGAGAGAGAGAAAGGTATTCCTTCCGTTGGTTCACTCCCCCAATGGCCGCCATGGCTGGCACTGCGCTGATCCGAAGCCAGGAGCCGGGTGCTTCCTCCTAGTCTCCCATGCGGGTGCAGAGACCCAAGCACTTGGGCCATCCTCCACTACCTTCCTGGGCCACAGCAGAGAGCTGGACTAGAAGAGGAGCAACCAGGTCTGGTACCTGGTGCCCCAACCGGGACTAGAACCCGGGGTGCTTGCACTGCAGGCAGAGGATTAGCCTAGTGAGCCACGGCACTGGCCCAGAATCCCATCATTTTCATAGGGAGAAACATGCTGTCCTTGTTTCTGACCTCGCAAGCACTCAGTTAGAAGAAGGGAATACTGATAAAACCTGGCACACTTTAAAAACAAAAATGCTTTCTCCATGCAAATCATCGTATGCTAAAACCTTAATTCTTTTTTTTTTTTAAATATTTATTTATTTATTTGGAAGTCAGAGTTACACAGAGAGAGAAGGAGAGGCAGAAAGAGAGAGAGAGAGAGAGAGTCTTCCATTTGCTGGTTCACTCCTTAATTGATTGTAAAGGCTGGAGCTGTGCCGATCCGAGGCCAGGAGCCAGGAGCCTCTTCCGGGTCTCCCACGCAGGTGCAGGGGCTCAAGGACTTGGTCCATCTTCTGCTGCTTTCCCAGGCCATAGCAGAGAGTTGGATCGGAAGAGGAACAGCCAGGACTTGAACTGACACCCTTATGGGATGCTGGCACTGCAGGCAGCGGCTTTACTCGCTCTGCCACAACGCCGGCTCTCACTACTGAATTTTGGCAATTGCAGTTCGTTGTTGAAAAAGCACATTGATTCAAATAAATATTTGGGCAGAATTTCCCATTATCTGGTATCAATTTGACACTAACAAATTATTGTTCAACACTCATTGTACTAATTTGTAAACAGAATCGTTGCCGTGGAGACAAATGGATGAACAAGGACAAATAGCTAAAGATCTCCTTAGAGACAGCAGGTCATGGTTACAACCTGAAATTTTTGCTGCTGCGGACTAATTAACACAGCAGTCATCATCTTGCATTGTGTATGTCTACACTCAGAGGAAAGCACGGCTTCTGAAAGAGCAGACCAGTAAGGTCTTAGAGACTACTGAAGTCTCACAGCGAGCTGGTGAATGGGAAGGGTGCTTGCTCAGCAGTGAAAACTGAATTTTTCTCACAGCCGGGGAGCTGGGCTGCGCAGTCTTTGGAAGGCGTGGTTAGGGTAATGCTAAATGCGAGCTCTGGCCTACGATGGAATGTTTGAACCTCCAGTTATTATTCCAGAACAACTCTTCTACAAGCGCAGCGGTGCAGTCCTCACTTACAGGG